AAGCAAAGGAACAAATACATGGACGACATATATGGCTGGCATGATTATTCTCAGCAGTCCATTGTTCCACTTCTTGAGAAGATGTTGGGGCAGGTCCATTTCACTGTCTCCACCAAATCCATGGTGGCATGTTTTCAATGCTGGGTGCACCAAATATTCTAATAGATGGAAACTTGAGACGGAAGACAAAACTTCATGTAATCCAAGTTTCTCACAAAGCTTTTGATGAATGCTGGCTACGAAGCCCTACTACTCAAGGGATTATTTATGCCTGCATTTACATGAAATGCAGCCCCATAATCGTCGTCTAGGAATGCTCGGTCAGTTTGCCAGGCACCTTATTTCTTCCACTTCTGCTCTCGGTTCCACAATATCTTGCCACATTTGCAGGCATATCCCACCTGGCGCATTGAGAGTGTGGCACGTCATTATCCACTCTAATATGCACACGAGTCAGAGGGTGAGGTTACAGCACTGGCAAATCACAGTGGCGATGTCGTATATTGCCTAGCAGTCAACTCCCATCAGAAGTTGGTGTAGGGAACATACAACGTTCTGACTTCAGCATATGCTCGAAGACCTTCACAAACCCTAATGGTATGGAAATTTTATCTCTTTGTGCGATAAACTTTTACTGAAGCATCATTGATTCAAGTAAACTAGGCAGTTTTACCTCAGAGAAGATAAAAAAGGTGTCTTTCCATCTATTTTCAATCATTTGTACCCCCACAAATTAAATTATTTTGATTTTTTACTTTTACGCTATAACTACTTTGCTAATGGTACTGTGTTGCTGATGTTGTGCAGGATAATCTCAAAAGAAGCAACAGCATACGAGCAGCTTCGCACAGCAATACAGTTGGTCATAGCATCACCTTCCTTCATACCCTGTCAGATGCTCACCTCCAAGCCCAAATCTTGCACTCATCTCATTCTAATACATCCTGTGGGACAACAACTAATTTATTAGGAAAGCGGGGTTGCTATCGTGCACACACCCCAGTTGAGGTTAAATCTAGCAGCTTCTTCGACGATACTGCCCTTTTTTGGCAAACTGGTGGCAAAGGGCCGTTTTGAGCGCATAGGTGGTTTTGTGATTTGTTGTGCGCTGCATTGCAGCATGAGTGGTACTTGAACCAACTCACCGAATGACAGGTTAAAAAATTCCATCATTAAAATGAGCGGAATGGGGTCGAGGGATCAAAGATAATCTGGTTGTCGCTTTCTTAGTCGATTCATTTAATGGCCTTCAGTAAATGAGGAGAATATAAGATTGTGGCCTTTCTCAAATCTAGCAACAAACCAAATCACCATCTTAATGCTCGCTTCTATAATAGCGAAATGCGGACATCAGTTAGTAGCACAAGATAAGGACTTTGTCCCATTTGCTGGAATTGTGAGGTGGCTGCGAGTGTGAGTGTGAAGATGAGTGTAAGGTTTCACACATCCACCACGTCAAAGGAAAATTCGTTTCTTTCACGCCTACCTGAGC